TAATATAAAAAATAGAGTAGAGCTAAAGAACAAGATTAAATCCTAGTGCCATGACTTGATGTAAAGAACATCCCTGCAGAATTAAAAGACCACATAAAGAACGGCTTTGCCCTACTAAGCCTAATTTACTTGAAACCAGAATGCAAAAAGCCAAAAGGGAAAAAAAAGTCTTACTCTTCAAACTATGAAGGGCGGATAAGAACCAAACATAAAAAGTGACAGAAAAAAGGTCAGAATTCTGAATGTAACTGTTAACAGGGTAAATGACAAGAAGCAAGAAGTCATTAAATAAGAGTGCAAGCAGGTAACACAGAACACCTGCAGATGACCAATGGGGGGGTATCCAGTGCAGTATAAATTTGTATGTAGGGACAAAAAGAGTTGTAATAATCAATATCTAGAAACAGAAGATAGAAACAAAAATGGAAAACCAGGAGACAAAATAAAAAAAAAACGGGGAAATTTAAACTAAGAGTAGGGATCCTGAATGATCAACAGCAGCATATATTACACAATCAAGACAAAATAAAAAGACAGAAGCAACACACTGATGAAACTGCACAGAAGAGATAAAAGGATTAAGATTCCTGCAAAGAAGAGACCGTCTGATAAAAAACCTAAAATTTTAGAAAGTGAAATGGATAGTGCTCACAAAGCACTTGTGAGAAATCAGTCATCAGGAACATGCATAAAAATAGGGTTGTTTCAAGATACAGAGGTGGAATTCTAAAAAAAAAACAAAAAAAAACCTAACAATATGAAAACAATAGCCTGCAGACTGGAAACACTCAAAATATATTCGTTCCAAAGAAAGGAAACATTAGGCATTTTAGTAACTATTGGAAATTAGCATTAATCTCCTGTAGAAGCAAAGGTATACTCAAGATTTTATGACAAATACTTCTACCATATGTGGAGCTTGGGCACTGGTAGTCTAAGCTGGATTCAAAAACTGAAGAGGCACTAGAAATCATATTGCAAACTTTTGGCGGTTTATATAGCACACCAAATCACTTCAGGTGAAAATCAACCGATATACTGTAGATTATAGAACACTTTGATTGCTTAGACCCCCCACCGCACCTCCACTATGGCCTGGTCTAGAAGAATTTGAGTGCCACAATATTTGATCATCCTGATGTGTAACTGGTACTTTGGAAAAAAGCCACTGTTAGGGCATAATATTGAGAAGCAGAATCATTTCTGATTGGAAAGGATGTTAGACGACAGTGCGTTTTAATTATTTTTAATTGATATGCAGATGGTATCATACAGAAAATAGATCAGCCTTGAAGGAAGGAGGCATGAGAAGCTGGAGAAAGAAACATAAATGATTAATGAAATCCAACTGCAAACAAACATGGCTAAACCTTTGGAAATGTGAAATCAAATGTGTATTGCGGTTATTGTTTTCGTTCGTTTTATAGAAACACTAGCTGCAAAACCTACAAAGACTAAATAATGGTTGGATTTCCTTAGGCTAGTGCAACTTGCTGCCAAACACCATGAATTGGTTCACACTGCCAACTACCTTAAAGCTCAAGGTGGTCCCTTTTTGATCTAAACGTTGACCAAAATCATTTGTTAAGTATATTGCCTGCAGTTTCCTTTAATTTGTTAACAGGGTGAATGTCAAGGAGCAAGAAGTCATAGATATTAAATA